CTGTATGTAATCGAGCTGGATTTCACAGTTCTTATCTAATACCAAGCCAAGGTGTCTGGAAATCCCATGTCATGGAATACAACTTTCTGAACAATCCCAGTTCTCTAGGACTGTCTTAATATGTGAGATGCTCCATCTCTGTGGTTCTTTTCTGGTGTCTTTCCAGTATGAAATCTCCATGTCTCTTGTACTATGGAACTCAAGACTGCATGCAGTAATCCAGGTGTTGCCTCACCATGTTGAGTAGAAGAGATTCCATTCTTAATTATTAATAAAAAATATTTATTGAAGATTAGAAATATTGTGTTGTGTGGATTCTTTGCTGATTCTTTGGCCCTCCAAAAGAGCAGCTACTGTTTTTTTCAGGTAAGGTGCTCTGGTAATATTTTTTCTGTCATAAGGCGTGGTGTAAGAAGTATTTAGCTTATGGAATGACCAACAATTCTTGAATAATTTAGTCCTTATAAGCTAACCATTAAACAGGGTAAATTTTAATTTTCAAATATGCTGTCATTTCATACCATGATACACATATTTATAAAATTCTTACAGCTTCAAACATGTCAGTATAGTCAGCCTGTTTCTGAAACAAAAGAATCTGTTTGATTTTGTGTTGATTTTCTTAATTACCAGTACAAAGCCAGATGAAACACCCTTTTATTCAGAGGGAGAACTTCCAAATTATATTGGTTATCCACCTCTTTCCCAGATCAATAATTCTTCATGATCTCTACAATGATATCAGAAGCCAGCCTGAGTTGCATCCCCACTTAAAACTGGCACAATTCAACACAGTCCTCTCACCTCTTTCTTGGGAGCTGCTGCTTTAGGTGCAGCCTTCTAAATGCTCTAATTTAAGCTTTTTGCACTGTCTTAGTAGGACATGACCTGAAGTCCCTTGGTATGTTTGTAATTTCCATAATAAATTGCCCCAGGTCTTTAAAGACAACCTGTTGGTCTGTTTGATTGTGGGTGCTGGAAAGACTGACAAAACCAAGAGCAGTGTGCTACTTTGTGTTTAGACCTAAAGTGTTTAATTTTAAGCTGTCTGAAAAAGATCTAGATTTGGGCAGGATAAGCCATTGGCAAATACTGCTTTGTTACTGTTTTGTTCAGTATTTTTTGTCCACCCTTATTGTATCTAGATGTGATGGATTCAGGAGGGAAAGTAAGCCTCTGACAAAATTTTTGTTTCCTTTCAGTGATTCAGCTGCACTGTGAGGAGTGTTAGTGGGTGTTCTGATGTAGGTGGAAGCTGTAGGAGCTGGTTGTATCTTTGTCAAGAAACCTACCTGTGTTGGCCATAAGCCATTAATATTAAAGTATACATTTTCTTGCTATCCATCCAGCCAACAAAATTTGTCCCTGTAAGCTAAATCAAAATGACACTTTCCTTTCTCCATTGATTTTGAGTATCTGTTCATAACTTTTTGTTGTCACCTTGGATAATGATGTGTAAGGAATGTATTTGAGTTTGCTGCTCTCCAAATGCTGCAATAAACTGAGTGATTCTCAGGAAATGTCACATGTATAAGTATTGCAGCTCTATATTTTTTCTGCTACCATTTTTATTTTAACTTTGAAGTGTGTTTCTGTTTGTACATCTTCCTGCTTTTAGAGATGTCTTGCATGGACTGAGCATGTACAGGAAGTTCTCTCATTATTTATTATTCATCATGTCTAGTCAACTTAAGTCTGCTGGAAAGAGAGAGTTCTTGTGGTGATTTCAGGAGATGATCCTGGTGTCCTACCCAGCAGCTGTGATGAGACCATAAATAAAATAAAACAAAACTATGTGTGTATAGAGCACAAAGATCAGATCATTTCATATCTCAGTGAATGGTAATCTAGAGCCTTCATTCTTAGCTATTCTTTAATATTGAAAAAGAAACTATCAAGCGCAGCTGAGCCACTTGCACTAAACAACAGTGATTCAGCACTTCAATTTGCCAACAGACACATAATTATCCTCTAGTTTTTATATGTCAAAACAGTGTGGGAGTGTAAAATAGTAAAAGCTGATAAGGATTTATACACCAAATTGTGTTTAGAACAACTCTTGAAACATTCTAATGTAAAGGGGAAAATAATTTGGCTTTAATTTCGTTGTTTGTTAAAGTAGCAATAAGTAAATTGTTTATAGAATATTTGAACTGATGTTTTCTACTAGTAAGACACATTGGAAATATAAGAACACTAGAAACATTCTTATTGCCTAATAGCAATAAATTTAGTTACTCCATACTGCAGTATAGTAAGGTACTGCCAGGGTCTATGCTGGTGGACCAGGAAGGGATAGTTGTTTCCTTAAATCTTGGGGGTTTTTTTAGGAAGGATGGAGTTCTGTTTACTGAGTCATCAACTCCTTCATGGTGTTGGCATGATTAATAAAACTTGGTGTTTCCCCGAATGAGCCAAATGCATTGATTTCTAGAGAATAACTTCAATGCTGATAAGACCCCATGGGTGGAACAGATACTGAGCACACATGCAAGAACTCTGAACAAATGGAACAGTATTGTAACCAACAACTATTAAGCTAATTTATTAAATGCTTTTAACAGATTTGTTCTAACATGCTGTGGTCAGATCTGTTGTTATCTCAACCCTTTGTGCTCCACATTGGGCATCCAAAAAGACTGTTGTGGTTTAACTCCAGCTGGAGTACCATGCAGCCACTCACTCACCACTTCCCTTCTCCTAGTACTCCACATTTCCCAGTACAAGAGAAGAAACTTGAAAGGGCAGACTAGAAATAAAAACCTGAAGCAGTTTTCCTTTATTAGTATAAAAATTGTCAAGCTGAGGTTTCTTTTAATATTATACACAACTCCTGTTTGTAAGAAAATCTGTCTGTACAACTTGTACAGAGTGCTTTGAATATATAGGATAGGAAGAATGCTTTGCAGCATAAGACCAACAGCAGCAGCAGGCATCGTTGATTTGTTAGGCACACATGATAAAGTAATTCAGTAGCAAGAAAAGAAAAAAAAAACAATTTGAAAAGAGTATATGGTGAGAAGTGTGTATAGTTAAGTGATATGAATTGCTTTGGGAACAACGTGTAATAAGATGGCATAAAAACAGGTTTGCTTTTCTTCTACAGCCAGAAGAAACTACCCAGAATTGATCTGTAAATTTACCAGCTACACTCTCCATAGCTCTCCTTTATTTTTCCAACAGCAAAGGAGCAATGAGTGTTCCAAACATGCCACAGAGTGCTCAGTTTGCTTTAGCATTTTCAGGTGCCTCTTCTTTTTCCCAGCTCAGGTCTTGGTAGCTTGTATGGGGAGAATAACTGGAGAGATTTGGCAGAAATGAGCCCTCTCAACTTTAAGCAGTATGGGGAAAGCTCTTTTATTGCTGTATAAGTGCTCGGGCTATGTAAAAAATTTATGAGTCCTTAATGTTACATTATTATCTGTTTGGTTTCAGTAGAATATAATCAATGGCATGATGAATGATAACTTGGGGAACCTGCTGATTAAAATTTTCCAATCATTTTTATGTTAACAGCATAGACAATAGCTTCCTATTGCCAGCAAAATAAAGTACAACCCTAAATTGACTGTGTGCAGAAAATACTGCAAGTGAATATGGAAAATGATAAATATTTTCCTGGTTACCAAGGAAGTGTGGTACTGCTAATGTTTTGCTCATTGTAATAATTATTTGGTAATTAAACTTTATTTTTTAAAAATCTTGTTAGAGATTCTGATATGAAGGCTTGGGGGGGAATGTGAAAAGTTTGTGTGTCAGGTTGGACTTAAGTAATTTCTTTCAGGTGGTTCAGTCATTTTCTCATGGTTACAGTTTAAATATAGGTTTCTATTCCCCCCACACTTCTCATTTCATAACAGTTGCTACAATTGCCAGTGGTGACAAGCTTTCCCACCACCTCTGCTCCTGTGCCCCTTGATGTAGCTGAACTAATGATCTTAAATTGCTATTCCATCTCCAGATCCCTTTTCCTTCCAGAGAGAAAAACCAGGATAATTTTAAGGGAGTGAGAGAAGTGCTGCTGAAAGAAGGGGAATGAAGCCTGAAACTGGTTGGAGTGGTACTGTCCAGGCATCAACAGGCAAGGACTGCTCCAGTGACCTTAGCAGGGAGGGAACCTTAGCAGGTTCATTGCTGTGGATGGATGTGTCCCCACAGCAGGAGGACAGGGAGCAAGGAGGTCTGATTTGGTTGCTCTCCTCTTGTGTGACTTCATAGCAGTCTGTAAAAGCAGTACTTGCTGGTGCTGGGGCAGGTGAAGCTCTTGAGATAGGTTTTGGTCTCCTGAACCTTCTAGAAAAATTGGAGGTCTGGCTGGCACCTACAAATCAGTTGTGGGTTGGGCTGAGGAAACATATGCTGTCTCTTCTTTGCAGAGATTCAGGAGAGGCATGCTTGTCTTAGGTGTTTAAAACAATCAGAAGCTTGTTTTAGGTTATAACCAAACACTGAACACTGTGAGGTTTGTGGGAATTGATTGCTTTGTGTCATAACTAAACAAAAATAAACCCATACAACTCTTTAAATAGCACCAGCACACCATTATTTCATGCAATTTTCTCTTAAGATAGAAAGAACATGAGCAGAAATAGTGCCACTTGATGATGCTGCAAAACTCTGTGTGTGGGAAATGGCAAGGGGTGGTTGCCGTGCCCTTCACTGTTCTGCATGCGGACTGTGTGGAAAGAGCAATGGAAAAAATGACAGCACCTTGAGATCATGGCAAAGAAGGAATGTTGTACACATGATCTGAAGTATTGCATGTAATGGACAAAAGATGTTCCAGGATTCATCCAAGTGACAGTTTAATGTGCTTCTTGCTTCTAACAACACTTCCTGTTCTTTTTCTTGCTTGTCTCCCTGAAGCTACTTCAAATAATGTAAAATGAATGTTTTCCATTTCTGTCAGGAGTTTTAAACCCATGTGTATCTAGCACCACCCACTGCTTTTAATCCTAATAGGATTTTTAACTGCTTTTCTATGTGCTTTATTTCCCCAGGATCTACTAATGTTTAAAAGAAAACTTGTACTAAGTAAATGGAAGATGGATTTCAGGTATATCCATCCCTTTCTTCTGCTGTGTCTGATGTTTCCTGTGCAAAGAGATCATTTGACTTCTGTTTAATCTTTATGAAGAAATTGCTGAGTTGCTTTAAAAGTTAGAAAGTGAGCAGTCAGTATTTTACAAAATGTTGGCATTTTTAACTCTTCTAAAGTCCTTATGCAAGGGACAGAACTACACAGAAGTGAGAGGCCTGCCTTTAACAGGCTTTGGAGTCTTTATTTTTTGAATAATATAAAGAGTGAGAAATTACTTTCAGTGGAATTGCAGTCCTAAATTTAAGAGACATTTGAATGTTTATTGGGATAAGGGACATTTAAGTGAACAAGTAGAGTGAATAGGATGAATGATGAGCCTCCAAGGTATCCTGAATGACTGAATGGCAGCAGAGAGATGTCTGAACCAGGGCAATAAATACAAATGGTTGTCAACCTGCATGTTTCAGGTTCAGACAGTGATGCCCAGGATTTATTTCTTTTTTCAGAGTGTACAACTTGCGAAGTCCCCAGTGACTGATCTTGCAGGAGAGCACAGGCGTTTGTCATGGACTCTGACTGCACTGCCAAGTTGTGACTCATCTTGCTTCTGTCTCTCTGGTGGGAGCTGGCTTTTTACCCAGCTGGGGGAGGTTGTCCAGCCCACACCACTCTTCTGTGGGTGCCTCTACAGCGAAGGTAATTTGTAGCCGTGGGGCATTGGCAGCTAATTGGGTGCAGGGCAATAAATAGGAAGCTTAGTGAAGGAAAGTATTTCACTTTGTTGCAGTGAATAGATGAGAAAGAGAAATACTGAGGGGTTTTTGGTTGCCTTTCCTAGGCTTCTTTTTCTGCTTGGATTAAAAGCCTGTAAGTGAGGTTCTAAGCTCTCTGCCTGCCTTGCTTGGTTTTCACACAGTCTAGTGTAGCTGCTGAACTGGGGCATGGATTTGCTCAGTGAGTGACTAGGAAGGACTCAGTGTCACAGCAAGGGAGCAAGCTATTGCACACTGTACTGCAGCAGCCTCTGCTGTTCCTCTGACCTTGGGACTGTGGCATGGCACCACTGTGCAGTGCCAGAAGTGTCAGTGCTGCTGTGCATGCTGAGAGGCGTCAACTTCTCACTCTGTGTGATCTACTTGAGATCAAGGGGCTTTCTTACTGCTGTTTGTGTGTGCCTCTGAAGAATGAAGTCCTGCCCAAGATGAATTAATTGTGAAATAAATTAATTTTTCCTTTGTTTTTTCATTCTTTGTTGTAATTTTAATAGAGAAATCATAGTAATCAGCTTAGCTGTAGCGCATTAAGAATTGACAAGCATCTCTGATGTGTAGGAAATGTCTGTAAGAGATTAGAAGGCAGAAGAAATGGAGTGAATCATCAATGTCCTGCAGAGAACTGAGCTACAAGCAGCAAGGAAGAATGAAAGATAAAAGGCCTTTTTTTATAAACAGACTTTAATAAACACCTAGGTTGCACAATTTCCTATTACAAGTCAGTAGGTAAGGAGGAAAAGAAGAATGAAAGATGAAATACTTGAAGTGGATGGATAAGAATTTTACCCAAACATTTAACTAAGAAGCAAAAAGTGAATATAACCAAAGAGCAAATTCCTCTAAGCCTGGACTTACTGAAAGCTCATTCCACTTTTCTTTTTCCCAGCCAAACTTTTTTGATTATTTTCTCATCTCTTCTAACTTGTCTACTTTGCATCCTTAATAAGGAAGAGAACTGTGACTTGCTAAATGGAAAGAAACTTCAACCAAACCATAAACTTCAACTTAACCATAAATATGTGTGTACATACCTTCAGACCAGCTGCTATGGCATCCTCCTCTCCCCAGGTGCTCATCCTCAAATTTTGTTAATATATGATCATTATCAAGTTGTATATAAAAGAGATTCTTACAGCCTTTTTATGATACTGACCACAGCCGGGCTGGACTGAGATCCATATTGTCAAACATGGTGTAAACCCAAATCTCCATTTTTAAACATGAGATCTACCTCAGTCACTGCCTAGACTGACAGGAAAATTTGTAGCAGATACACGGATCATCTTGGGGACAGTAGCATTCCAGTAATTCCAAAGATGGATAGCAAAATTGGAGGAAAGAAAAAGCCAAACCAAAACAAACAACTACTCTTCCTGCATTCTTATTTCTTCTTCCTGTAAATGTGCCTTTAAAAACACATTTGGGAATAAGAACTGAAAGTATCATGTTCTGGGACTCCAGGACAGACTCTAATGAAAGAGATGCAGTCTTAAAGATCTTGTATCTGTATTCATTTAGGTGAACTTTTGCCTGTTGAAGGTATTTTTTTGATGCTGGAAACGGAGTCCACAAGTTGGCTGAATAAACTCCTGGCTATTTAAGGGATAAACTTGTTGAACTCTGAGAGAGTCTTCTGAACACACCAGCTTGAATGTTAGCTACAGTGAGAGTTGTTTACTCCCTGTTTGTCTGGATGCACTGCTATCTTAATAAAGGCTTACAGCTGATCAGCTGAAATAAAAGGACTTTCTGTTCTTGCAGCCTTTTCTGATAGCCTGTTCCATTTTGTACTGCTCACATATGTTTCTTGCTACTGGCATAAGGTTTTGAAGCAAATTTTGAAATCCTTTGACTTTGAAAGAAATTCTGTGTATAACAAAAAAAATATTCTTTCCATGTCTGTTGTTCAAACTTGGTATCACCAAAATATCAGAACTTTGATTTTATTAACAAAAAAGGACTATAATAGGACATAAAAATAATGGGTCTTACAAATATTTTTACAAGACATCATCTAGCTACATAAAATTAAAGAGAAATAAAACTAATTCTTCACACTTTCTGCTTGCAACTTTTAGGCTTTCAGCAGAAAATAAATTTTCTTTAAGAAATAAGAGCAGTGAGGACATTTTTGAGGTAGGCAGTAGAACATGTTTTAAATTCTCATTAGGTGTGTATAAAAAGGTATAATTTCCATAATTTTTAAATTATCGTCCTGTAACTGAAATATTAACATTAAATTGATTAAGCATTCTGTAAGTCTCTGTTTGAGATACTCATTAATTTTTCAAATGAGACTGATTATAAAATCTATCATATATGATGTTCTAACATGACAGGTGTGTTTGTAAGATAATAGGGAAAGTTGGGTCTTTTTCCTTGTTACTAGAATAGAGAAGGAAGGTTCACACATGAACTGCAATAGTAAGAATCTTAATGTATATTGCAATTTAACAAAAAAAAAAACAAAACAAAACAAAACTGTGATAACGTGCTTTTGTCCTCTTGAAGTAAATCAAAATTGTAAGACTTCTTGGCTTTTGAGTCCAAACTTTACTGAAGTAAACCTGCTTTTGCAAAGTATTATAGAATTGGGTTAGGTTTGCTACTTTTGGGGGAGTTTTTGATGGAGTTACCTTATTCTGGTGGGAAGTTGCACTCCCAGAATATTTTGACTGTGTTTCTTTTTCTCAAGTATCTGCAAGCTAGTTTGCTTACAGTCCTTTTCCAAAGTACATATTGAAATTATTCTTCACTTGTGCTGCCCTGAAAGGTGGACTAGACTTTCAAATTCCAATGTTTCTAGCTAGAAGCACACACATTTGAAAAGATCACAAAGAGCAGACAGGCTGCATACTCGTCTTAATTAACGGATGTATAAAGCTGCTAATCATAGAACTATTTAGGTTGGAAAAGGCCTTTGAGATTATCAAATCCAACTATTAACCCAGTACTGCTAAGTCCACCAATAAACAATGTCACCAGATGTCACATAGACATATCTTTTAAATACCTCCTGGCATGGTGACTCCCTGGGCAGCCTCTTCCAATGCCTGACCACCCATCTAGATATTAGGAGCATTTTCTTTGCCAATCTAAACTTCTGCTGATGCAAATTGAAGCTGTTCCCTCTCATCCTGTCAGCTGTTACTTGTGAGAAGAGAATAACTCCCACCCACCTACAGCCTCCTTTCAGGCAGTTGAAGAAAGCTACAAGGTCCGTCTGAGCATTCTTTCCTCGAGGCTAAAAAACTCCAGCTCCCTCAGTTGCTTCTCATAGGATTTGTGCCCCAGACCCTTTGCCAGCTTTTTTCCCTTCTTTGGACACATTCCAGCACCAAAGTGTCCATCTTGTAGCAAAGGGCCCAGAACTGAATGCATTATTCAAGGTGCTGAGTGCAAGGGAATGAGATTTCAATAATTAATAAAAAATAATAATTTCCGAAGGTTAATTATATCACAGCAATAGCAAACTTCTAAAGCAACTTGCTTGTGACTTTTAATATCTTGCTGTTGTTGTTTTGATTAGTGTTGTATGTAACATTTCACATTTACTTTAAATGTCTTAAAAAGCAGTGTATTTGTTTCTCCTCTATAGTCTTTCACAAAAATCAAGTAATGGGATTTTTTTCTCCCACTTACTCCCAGGCCAACACAAGCTGCTCGTGTTCCAGCGAATGACCTTCATATGACTGCAGCCACCATGCAGGTCAGCCAGGAGGACTTCCAGAAGGCTCAAGAACAGCTGAAGCTTTTGAAAAAGGATCCTGGGAATGAAACTAAGTTGAAACTCTATGCCCTGTTTAAACAGGTAGGCATGACTTGACTTATTTTTTTTGGTAAGGAGCATTTATAACCTGAGGGGATGGGCTTGTAAAATTTATTTAAAATACAGACTGTTCAAATGTATTGTGTGTTAACAGGCTCTTCATTTTACATGCTCAAATTGTGTTCCTGAAATGTCAGCCCCTTAAAATGCCTAAATTCTGAAGGAAGCCAAACCTGTTTTTTTTCATGCTTTGACTAGAAACCTTTATTCAAATAACTAAAGCAAAATTGCATCCATTGTGTGATGTCTTCCATATAATAATTTTGATTCAACTTTGGAAATGCCTTATGTCTAGGAAAAAAAGTGTAGGCTGAATGCTTCCCTCTTAAATGTCTCGTATCTATAGACATCTGGGCCTATTATATAATGGTTTTGACATTTGGAAGTTGATTTCTGGGGATTATTCCTCTCTTTTATTTTAGTATGGTCATTGTTTGTTTTGGGGTTTTTTGTTTGTTTATTTTGAATTCAAGGAACTTTTCCTCCAAAGTTGGAGTGAAGGTTATTCTTTACTACAGCATAAAAGGAGACCTTTGCAGAAATAGCTTTATGTCCACAGCAGGGCTTGTATTGATATTTCAGGAAGTATTTGTGGATCAGGTTTGACTGCAGGTTCAGTACAGGCTTGTTATGTTGAGG